CAAGGCTGGTAAATACAGTCCTGCTATTAAGGGGAGAAATGGCCAGTAGGAATGCTTAGATCAGGAGCCTGGATGCAGTGAGGACATTTGTTTTTAAGCAATGTCTGCCTGCTTCCCAGACCCAACTCAGAATAAGAAAGGATTTGTTCATGTAATTAGGAAAGTGGTCTGCTTACGGGGAGGGGTTTTCAGCCTGGAGTTGTGGGCCTTATCCTGGCCCATTAGGGTTGGCAATTCGAGGTGGTCTGGAGAAATCGGTCCCCAGCTGCCCTACCTGATTCAGCCCATCCAGGGGCGGGAAGAGAGCTGCAGAGGCACAGATGAATTACCTTCTTTTTAGGGTAGACAGATTTAAAAGAAACTTTAAATAAAAAATCAGGGAAATTTATTTTCATGCCCATACATCTTTGTATACATAATTCTTAGAGTGACCTTGCAGAAACCCTTCAGAAAGTCTGACCAGCGGTGCCAGTACATCCAGCCCTTGTTGCCTTTGGAGCTGGGAGATGCTAGATTGGCATCACCTGAACGTGATCCCTTTCATTCTCAAGGCGCTGCAAGAAAACTCCTGAGTGAGACAATACAGGGACTTTGGAGAGATGCTCATAACCAGGGGACTCCAATTTTAAAGTTAAATAGCCTACCAGTTTCCACTAATTTTTTTTCTCCAAAAATCTTTTCTTTCCTGTTTTCTCTGACATAAAGGGGAAAAATTCGGACAATAATTAGAGACCCAGCTTCTTGAGCAAAGAGGGACCCTAGGATATATCACAGATGAGGAAACCAGAGGGTCAGAGTGGAGCAGTGACTTCCTTAAGCATCTCAGTGAGCTGGGCTCATGTCAGTCTGCAGCTCCTGGCCCAGTGCTGTTTCCTCTCCACCTCGCCAGGTTCAGTTAGCTTTCATAGGTGTAAAAGTGCTGCCCCTTGCCTTTGATTTTAACAGGCCATCACGTGGGCCTTCTCTGCCATCACATGCACGGACCCCAGCAGCAACTTTCCCTCCTGCCCACCCAGGGCTCTCCTTAGCCCAAACTGGCCTCTGCCCCAGGGACGGAACAGATGCTTCCTTATCATAATTGTGGCCCTTCCTCCAGCAATTAAGGGACACAAGAGGAGACGTTTGTTTCTATTTATCAATTAAGCATGAGCAAGTGCCCAAGAGGGCACATGGAGAATAAATCCATCATTTGTACCTCGCATTACAAATCAATCGGGCCAACCTCCCCACCACTCACTCCCCCATTGGAAATCTATACCGATTTCCAGCTTCCTGTGGACTCAAGACATTTCTTTCCTCCAAGGGGGGGGATGTGTCCCTGTCCCAGGAACTGCCCCGGGCGTCTCTTGGAGAGTGCCTCAGTTGGGGCTGCTGGTTCCACAGAAGCCTCTCTGCCACCCATTAGCTCAGCCTTCCCCAGGGCAGGGGGAGGAAGCAGAAGCAGCTCAGGCCCACACGACCTCCTGGGTTAGGGCAATGAGGAGGGCACTTAGGGGGACCGGGAGCTCAGGGTCGTTGACCTGGCCCTAAGGCCTTGCAAGGCCGTCCTGCATCTGCCTCCCTGGCTAGGGGTTTGGAGCCTTGTACAGAGCGCATTGTGGTGTTTCAACCCAGGGTAGATGGGTGGGCGGTGAGCAGTGGGGTTCATCAGGG